CCTCCTCCATCCACCTCCTCCATCCACCTCCTCCATCCACCTCCCCCATCCTCCCTCCTCCATCCTCCTCCATCCACCTCCTCCATCCACCCTCCTCCATCCACCTCCTCCATCCTCCCTCCTCCATCCCCCTTTCCATTCCTCCTCTGTCCATCTCCCCTCTCTCCACTCTCCTGCACTCTCCCTCCCCCATCCCTCCCTCCTTTGGCCTCCCTGCCCCATCATTCCTCCTGTCTGTTCTCTCCCCATCCATCCCCTCCTCGGTTCACCCAGACGCATCCGCCTGCTTTTCTGTCCCTTTGCTTACTTTTCATTCAGCAAACACTTGTTGAGCCCTGTCATGTGCTAGGGGCTGGGGACCAGTGGGACAGACAAGACCCCTGTCCTTATAAATGGGGAAATGAGAGACTGTGAGGTCCCAGGCTGAGAGGCAAAAGCCAGGGCTGGCATCTGGTGCCTTCTGGCTGCTGCAAGGCTGCCAGCTGCCTTGTGGTCACCTGTGGGAGGCTCTGCCCCCACTCCTGGGCTCCTCAGTCTGACATACATCGCCCACGAGAAACCCTGGCCACAGAGGTTCTCAAGTCACAGGTGTGGTCTCCGTGACACAGGTGGATGGCAGGTTCCAGCCACAAGCCCAGGCTTGGCCCTGTCACATGCTCTCTGTTCTCACTCCTGTTACAGTCCCCGTCCTTGTCACAGCCCCTGTCCTGCCCCTGTCACAGCCTGGCTCTGGCACTGGCTGCCCTGTGGCACCTCAGTCCTCCTCAGGCCCTTGTTCCTGGCCCCAACACCGTGTGTGAGTTGGACGCAGTGAGCTTCCCAGCTGACTATGCTGCAGGTTCAGCAGTGGGGCCCTGGCTGGGATCTGGGCCCACCCCCACGCCTCCAGGGTGGCTGGGGACCCTGAGCCTTACCGGCTGGGCCATCTCCCGCAGGTACTGGGCACAGTCCCGGTGTCCGTGGTACTCTGCCAGGTCCGCTGCTGTGTAACCATCTTCATCCCGCAGGGAGGGGTCCACATGGTGGGAAACCAGGGTCTGGCAGCACTGCAATGAGGAGGGCACAAGTGTGACCCACCACAACACTCACCAGGTGCCCATGGGGCTGGCCCTATGCAGGCTCCTCCCCAGGCTGTCCTGGTACCCTTCCCAGCAGGGGCAGGACTTGAGTCTGGGCCGTAAGATTCCAGAGACCTGCCTAGGAGCCCCTGAGCCTCATCTCACAGACCCCTGTCCTGGCACAGACAGTACCAGGTACCGCCTATGAAGCAGTGATGAGCCAACAGGATCAGAGCGCCCTGTCCAGACCCCTCACAGCTGCCGTGCCCCAGGCGTTAAATGCATAACCCGTTTCCATGTTTGCAACCCTTGGAGGTGTGGACCAATGCAGGTGAAGAAACCAGGCTCAGAGAGACAGGCAATTGGCCCCCGGCCCCCCGACTCAGGGCCTGTGACCTCCCCACCTCCCGCCACAGCCCCACTCTCCATGGGACCATCCTCCTGGCTCCATGAGGTTCCCCCCTGGTGCCCAGAGCACCAGCTCAGGCCTGACCAAGGCTACTCACCACCTTTGCCAGCCACACTGCATGCTCCTACCCCACCAACCTGGGGCCAGTGCCCTCCTGTCTCCCTCTACCTGATGGGCTCTTGAGATGGGAACAGGGAGGAAGAGGAGCGGGGAGGAAGCTGCGGAGGGAGTCTGCAGGACTGGGAGTCTGGGGGGCATCTGAGCTGCTGAAGGAGTCACACAGGTGAGGGACGGGGGACTTCAAGAATGATTTCTGCACTTTATTCTGTAGGTATTTATTCTGTAAATATTTCTGTGTTTCTTTTATGGTACCAGGGAAACACAAAAACAAACTTGAGTGAGGTGAATGTCGTGTTCATGACACTGTGCCTCTGACTCCATCCCTGAGATAGACCAGCTGGGCCTCAGCATCTTTGGGTGAAACTGAAGTGAACTAAGAAGTGGGGCCAGGCGCAGTGGCTCACGCCTTAATCCCAGCACTTTAGGAGGCCAAGGCAGGTGGGTTGGGAGTTTGAGACCAGCCTGACCAACATGGAGAAACTCCGTCTCTACTAAAAATACAAAATTAGCCAGGCGTGGTGGCGCACACCTGTCATCCCAGTTACTCAGGAAGCTGAGGCAGGAGAATCACTTGAACCTGGGAGGTGGAGGTTGCGGTGAACTGAGATCATGCCATTGCATTCCAGCCTGGGTGACAAGAGCGAAACTCCGCCTCAAAAAAAAAAAAGAAGTTGTGAGACCCCCGGCTGGGCGCAGTGGCTCACGCCTGTAATCCCAGCACTTTGGGAGGCCAAGACGGGTGCACCACCAGGGTCAGGAATTTGAGACCAGCCTGACCAACATGGTGAAACCCTGTCTCTACTAAATACAAATAAATAGCCAGGCATGGTGGCAGGTACCTGTAATCCTAGCTACTCAGGAGGCCGAGGTAGAATTGCTTGAACCTGGGAGATGAAGTTTGCAGTGAGCCAAGGTTGCACCATTGCACTCCAGCCTGGGCAAGAGCGAAACTTCATCTCAAAAAAAAAAAAAAAAAAAAAAAGAAGAAGTTGTAAGACCCTAGAGGAAATCTCACCTCCTCTCTGGACTGCAGGTGCCTCACCTGTAAAAGGTGCAATTAGTGTTCACCCTCTACAGATACAGAGATAAATACAGGTTCAGCGCACATGTGGACGGCGGGTATGCCACGCCACGAGTAAACGTGACCCGACGCTGTCGTGCATGGCTGGGGACCGGGCAGCAAAGTCCAGTGGCCTGGAGCTCATCTGGTTCTGTGACTTGCTGGTCAGAGAACTTGGCCAGCTAACTGGGCCCGTCTGTAAAGTAGGGACAGCTGCACTGACCTATGGCTGACACCACCTCCCTCAGCCTCCCTCACCCCTGCCCCTAACAACACCCAGCTGTGCAGCTAGCAGGTCAGATCGAGACCTCAAGGGTGAGTGCCTTGTCCTGAGGAGTACTCTGAAGGTCACCACCAGAAGAAGGTGGACAAAAAGATGGAAAGAGCCCCACTCCCTGGCAGCCCTGCAGGCCCACAAGGCCAGCACCAGAACCGCAGAGCGGAAGGGCTTGTCGCTGCATGAGGATGATGACCCCGCGCCTCTAAGCCTTGGACTCAGAGTTTGCTTGTGCACTGCCTGCCTTCCTAGGTGCCATGCTGCCTTCCAGAGAGGAAGCAGCTCAGGCCGGAGGCTGCCGGCTCTGGCACAAATACCCAACCCTGGTCATGGCGCGAAAGCAGCCACACATAGCGTGGCCAGGTGCCCACGAGGTTTATTTGTGGACACTGACATTGTAACTTCATATGAGTTTCATGTGTCATGAGATGTGATTCTTTTTCTTTTTCCCCATTTAAAAAGGGGAGAACTATTTTGAGCTTGTGGGATCATACAGAATCAGGCATGTGCCCACCCCTGTCCGGAGGGCTGCTGGGAGGCTTGAACCAGATAACGCCTGAAGGTTCTTGGAGGCCCAGAAGGGCTGAACCAGTGGCTGGTGTGGCTGAGGAAGCAGCAAGCATTTGTCAGATATGCCATCTGGGCTGGGAGGCTGGGGCTGGGGAGGCTGGGGCAGATGGCTGAAGCCAGCCCCTGGGAGAGGCACCGCTCCCGAGGCTCTGGGCTGGGGGCATGGCAAGAGTTTTCCAGGATGAGATGGGTGTGGGTGGGTGGAGGTGGAGCGTCCTCGAGGCACTGTCACTCAGGAGACGAGGCCAGGACGGGGCAGAGGGGAGTTAATAGGGTCTGCAGGAGTATGAGGGGCGTCACAGCAGAGGAAGGGGGACAAGTGTCAGACCTGGCCCCAGATGGTGCTGGGGAGAGAGGGCACAGCCCTGACAGAAACAGAGCCGTGGGGAGGAGGAACAAGAGAACCTCCCCACAGGGTGACGGACTGCATGGCTGCTGGGACTGTCAGCAGAGGGTGGGTCGTGACAGATTGAACTCCATCTGGAAGTCTGTGTAGAAGCCACCCCAGCAGAGAAGCAGGTGTACAGATGGAGCCACTCCAGGGAGGAGAGACCCAAGTGGGTCAGACCAATCCACTGCCCAAGGACGTGAAACGTGGATTCACTGTAAAAGTCACTTGCCAACAGCATCAGTGAGGTAACATAGAAGTGAGAGTGAAACTCAAGAGAAAGGAAAGCGGGGGGGGGGTGGGGGGGGAGCCGAGCACCCAGAACTGCCCTCGCCCTGAGACAGGGCTGATGCCGGAAGAACAGTTATACAATGCACTGTCCTCCAGCAGCCTCAAGGGACCAGGGAGGCCAGGAAGAGTGCGAGGTCTGCCAAAGGTGGGCCTCTGGTTGACCACCTCTGGCTCTGGTTGACCACCTCCCGATGTAGGGCAAAGGCTCCACCCTCAGAGAAAACAGAAACCAGATGCCAGCCAGGCCCCTGGTGCCTGTCACGGAGGTGGTCCCGGGAACTTCCTGCCTGGAACGTGGATTAAGATGATCCTGGGCCAGGCCGGGCGCGGTGGCTTAAGCCTGTAATCCCAGCACTGTGGGAGGCCGAGGCGGGTGGATCACGAGGTCAAGAGATCGAGACCATCCTGGTCAACATGGTGAAACCCTGTCTCTACTAAAAATACAAAAAATTAGCTGGGCATGGTGGTACGTGCCTGTAATCCCAGCTACTCAGGAGGCTGAGGCAGGAGAATTGCCTGAACCCAGGAGGCGGAGATTGTGGTGAGCCGAGATCGCGCCATTGCACTCCAGCCTGGGTAACAAGAGCGAAACTCTATCTCAAAAAAATAAAAAAAGATGATCCTGGGCCCACCAAAGGCAAATAAGATATTGCCAAGGCCTCCAGTTATGCCTGCACTTCATTTTTCAAGTTTAATGCCAGCATACGCCAACAAAAATCAGAAATACAAGGAGATGAGATACCATGAATGAGAACCAGAAGACCAGCCCGCAAAGAAATAGGAATAAAGCTCAGAGAACTAACACTACAACACAACTGTGCTCATGACTTTCAAATAAAGAAAAACCCAGGCAGGCAGATCACACCTCTTCAAAATAAAAGGGTAAAAATAAACCCCTAAACATTAGTAATTATGCTGACTGTAGATGGTCTAAATGCACCAATAGATAAAGATTGTCAGACTGATGAAAAAACTAAATATGACTGCATGTGGTCAGCCAGAGGTACTGGCAAACATAAGGATTCAGAAGGCTGAAAGTGAAGTAAGAACAAGCTTTACCATCAAATAAGTAATAGAAAAGTCATGTGTGTACCTATATCAAACAGACTAGACAGGGGTTCAAAATATATAAAACAAATGGTGACAGGATTACAGGGAAATACAGACAAATCCAGAACAATAGCCAGGAATGTTCACACATTTCTCTCAAGCAATGTAAAATCGAGTAAACTAGCATGTGTATCTATATCGATCTGAAGAATACAATGACATAATGGACACGAAGAGAATAGTCAGCAGACTTTACAAGTCTTTGTTCCAAGAACAAACACAATATTTATAAAAGTTCACCAGACACAGGTCAATAAAGTAAGTTATCAAAAAATCAAAGGCTTGAAATCACCAGTGTATTTCCTGACCACAGTGCAATCTGGAGAGAAATTAATAACAAATAGATAACCGGAAGGAACACCTTTATATTTAGAAATTAAGAAATATAATTCCAGGCTGGGCGCGGTGGCTCAAGCCTGTAATCCCAGCACTTTGGGAGGCCGAGGCGGGTGGATCACGAGGTCAAGAGATCGAGACCATCCTAGTCAACACGGTGAAACCCTGTCTCTACTAAAAATACAAAAAATTAGCTGGGCATGGTGGCGTGTGCCTGTAATCCCAGCTACTCAGGAGGCTGAGGCAGGAGAATTGCCTGAACCCAGGAGGCGGAGGTTGCGGTGAGCCGAGATCGCGCCATTGCACTCCAGCCTGGGTAACAAGAGCGAAACTCCGTCTCAAAAAAAAAAAAGAAATATAATTCCAAGGAATACCTAGGGCAAATAAGAATCAAAATGGGAATTAGAAAATATTTTTTAACTGAACAATTAGCCAACAGTGGGATACAGCTAAAGCAGTACTTGGAGGAAAATTTATAGCCTTCAATAAATACATTAGAAAAGAAAAAAGGTTGAAAAGTAAGTGAAGTAGGCATCCATTTCAGTAATTTAGGAAAGAACGTAGTAACAAAGATAAATGCAGAAATTAATGAAATAAAAAACATACATTGGAGAGAATTAAATGTTTTTTGGAGGACCTCGAACAAGTTAAAACCTGGTTGTTTGAAAAACTAGTGACTAACCTCTAGTGAGACTGACTGAGACAAAAAAGAAAGACAAAAATAACCAATATCAGGAATTAAAAATGGGGAAATTACTACATATAGGCAATAAAGGATCATGAGGACATTAAAAATAACTTTATGCTAATATATTTAATAACTTAGATAAATTTGATTCCTAGAATATTTCTAGAAAATAAATCCTCGAAAAATATAATTTACCAAAACAAACACATAAAAAAAATAAAACCCTAGTTCTATAATTAAATAAATTGAATTAGTAATTAAAAACCTTCCCTCAGGCCAGGCACGGTGGCTCACGCCTGTAATCCCAGCACTTTGGGAGGCCGAGGCGGGTGGATCACGAGGTCAAGAGATCGAGACCATCCTGGTCAACATGGTGAAACCCCATCTCTACTAAAAATACAAAAATTCAGTTGGGCATGGTGGCGTGTGCCTGTAATCTCAGCTACTCAGGAGGTTGAGGCAGGAGAATTGCCTGAACCCAGGAGGCGGAGGTTGCAATGAGCCGAGATCGCGCCATTGCACGCCAGCCTGGGTAACAAGAGCAAAAAAACTCCATCTCAAAAAACAAAACAAAACAAAACAAAACAAAAAAAACCCTTCCCTCAAAGAAACAGCCAGATCCAGAGGATTTCACTAGTGAATTCCACAAAACCTTAAAAGAAACAAATAAGTCTAATATAACCAAAATGTCTCAAAACATAGAAAAAGAGGAAACACTCCTAATTCTTGGCATATTTTGATACCAAAATCTAGCAAGGAGAGAATGAAAAAAGGACATTCCATGCCAATTTTACTCAAGAATATGAGGCCAAAAATCCTCCACAAAATGTTAGCAAATTGAATTCCGCTACATTTAAAAGGAAAAATATGTCATGTTGAACTTATTCCAGGAATGCAAGGTTGGTGTAACACTTTAAACTAATCAGGGTAGATTCAGGTATTCTACTGCTGGGTATACACAGCCAAAAGATTTGAAGGCTGGATCTCAGACATATTTGCACACGCATGTTCATAGTAGCATGATTCACTACAGTCAAAAGGCAGAAGAACCCAAATGTCAATTAACAGATAAATTGAGAAAGAAAATGTGATATATACATACAATGGAATATTATTTAGCCATAAAAGGAAGGAAATTCTGACACATTACAATAGGGGTGAACCTTGAGGACATTATGCTAAGTGAACTAAGCCAGAGACAAACGGATAATACTGTACAATTCCACTTATATGAGGTATCCTAAGTCATCGAGTTCATAAAAAACAGAACATAGAATGTTGGTTGCCAGGGGCTAGGAGAAAAGGGAGATGGAGAATTGCTGTTTAATGGCCACAGAGTCTCAGTTTTGCAAAATGAAAAAGTTCTGGAGATTCACCTGCACAGCAATGTGAACAGACTCAATGCTGCTGAACTGTACACTCGAAAATATCTAAGATGGTAAATTTTATGTTATGTATTTTTTAATCACAATTTAAAATTTTTAAGGAATAATCAGGGCTGGGCACTGTGGCTCACGCCTGTAATCCCAGCACTTTGGGAGCCCAAGGCGGGTGGTTCACGAGGTCAGGAGATCAAGACCATCCTGGCTAACACAGTGAAACCCAGTCTCAAATAAAAATACAAAAAAAAAAAAAAAATAGCTAGGCGTGGTGGACTGTGCCTGTAGTCCCAGCTACTTGGGAGGCTGAGGCAGGAGAATCCCTTGAACCTGGGAGGCGGAGGTTGCAGTGAGCCGAGATCGTGCCACTGTACTCCAGCCTGGTACCTGGCGACAGAGCAAGACTGTCTCAAAACAAAAAAAAGAATAATTTGTCACATCATTCAAAGAATAACTAGGCCGGGCACAGTGGTTCGCGCCTGTCATCCCAACACTTTGAGAGGCAGAGGTAGGCGGATTATCTGAGGTCAGGAGTTTGAGACCAGCCTGGCCAATGTGGTGAAACCTCATCTCTACTAAAAATACAAAAATTAGCTGGGCATGGTGGTGTGTGCCTGTAATCCCAGCTACTTGGGAGGCTGAGGCAGAGGCTGCAGTAAGCCAAGACTGAGCCACTGCACTCCACCCTGGGTGACAGAGTGAAACTCCATCTAAAAAAAAAAAACCAATGTGATATAGTGAAACATGAAACCTATTAAAAATAACCATCATTCCTCTTTAGAGATTGCTAGAGCATCAAATAATTGTTTTGATGATTTTTAACTGGGAAAAAGCTGTCATAGCTGAGAGGCATCTAAGGAGGCATGATGACTAAATAGAATACAGCACCCTGCACGGGATTCTGGGACATAAGAAGGCCATTTGGTAAAAGCTAAGGGCATCTGAATGAAGTATGGGCTCTAGTTAACAACACCGTGTTAGTGTGGGTTCACTAATGGCGACGAATGTACTGTAACGTAAGTTGTTGAGTGTGGGGGAAAGGCCGGGGATAGTGGCTCACACCTGTAATCCCAGCACTTTGGAAGGCTGAGCTGGGAAGACTGCTTGAACCCAGAAGGTTGAGGCCTGCCTGGGCAGCATAGTGAGACTCCCATCTCTACAGAATTAAAAAAATTAGCCGGCCATGGTGGCATGCGCCTATAGTCCCAGCTACTCAGGAGGCTGAGGTAGGATTGCTTCAGCCTAGGAATTTGAGGTTGCAAATGGTGATAACATGCTGTTGTGTGTTTTGACACCCACAGTAAGAAATTTGAAAGGGAAGAAGTCTCTACTTTGAGGTTGAATAATTTTCTTTTTCACAGAGGGAAGGTGAGGAGCCTGGGTCCTCGGCTGTTTATCAAACTTCTTGGGCTCCTATGGAATATTTCATTTGAAAGAAGATTTTGCTGCTTTAAAAAAGTTCAAAAGCCACTGGCCAGGGACCACTTACCCCCTTTTGAGCCGAGGTCTCCTGGGGGCCTGCCTGAGCCACTCAGCTGGAGCAGAGCTCCTCCTGCCACCAGCTACCTGTCGGGGACACACCTCCCAGGCCTGTGGTTTACCCCGTCTCCCACCACTTCGTGTATCTACCTAGGTGGGGGACAGAGACTGGGGAGACAGAGCTGGGGTGTGAGTTGGGCAGAGCTGAGTGGAGGGGCGGGGAGGGGGTTGGTGAGAGGAAGCGCAGCAGCTGAGGAGCCTCAGAGAAAGATGCCTTCGGCGGCGCTGCTGGGAGCAGGGACTGGGTTTCCTCCACATTCCACCAAAGGCTCAGCTGCACTGAAATGCACGCCTCCGGATGGCTCTGCTGCGGCACCCTGCATGACTGTTTCAGTGGCACTGCTGAGACTGGGTGACCCGGGGCCACAGGAAGACCTTGGGCTTCAGCTGGGAGCAGTTGTCTGGACTCACAGACCCAGGATGGGATGCTCGGTTGCACCTCCACTTACAATCCCCCCAGGGTAGCCTCTCGGAGGCCTGGAGCTCGCGTGTCCTGGCTCCGGACTGCGCACCTGAGCCAGGGAGGCTCTGGAAGAACACGGGGAACCAGGAGGCTTCATGGAGGTGATTGGACGTGACACTGCCTGGGACTGGATGGGGCTGGGGAGAAGTGAACTGTGTGCGTTCCCCTGAGATGGGGTCTTGCCTTTAGATGAGGTCGACATCGTGTGGGCACCTGTGCAGGGCCAGCGGCCTATGGCTGCACCCACCCTACAAGGCTGAGTGTGGTTCTGATGCTGAATATTCGAACACTATCCCTGCCTACCTGGCGCTTCTGGATGTCCTGTTCTTGAGCCTGGGCCATGTGAGCCCCCAAGATTTATCTGGTAATAGCAAAAGGGCTGGCATCACATGCCTGGCACAGCTGTGCTTGCAGGCGGCTCACGGCAGCGGGTCTGTCCCCAAGGGCTGTCCTGAGAAGACTGCCACCAAGACCAACCGTCCCCAAGGGCTGTCCTGTCACCAAGACCAAACCCTGAACAGACAGCAGGGAGTTGCTGTGCGAAGGAAGGAGGGTGGCATGCAGGACGAGAGCACAGAGCTTGGATCTTGCCACTTGACCCTGGGCTCTTGACCTTGGCCAAGTGACTTTGCCACTCTGAGCCTCAGTTTACCCATCTGTAAAAGGGGAGTCATTGCTCCTACAGAGTTGCTGTGAGGGTCAGTGACACAGCGCTGGGCATGGCTGGCACTCGTGACTGCTCACCCTGTCTCCATCACGCCCACCTTACCTCCATCTGCCCATTCTCTGCTGCGTCGTGGAGGGGGGTCCCGCCCCAGGAGTCTCTCAGGACAGGGGTGCCCATCAGCAGGAGGCGGTCTAGAATGGGCGTGTGGCCGCCTCGGGCTGCAAAATGCAGGGCCGTGGCCCCCTCGTTGTCCCGTGCTGTGAGTCCGATGTCAGTGAATGTGACCTGGGGAAGGAGGTGTGGAGGGAGCAGTCACCCTCTCAGGGAGGGGGCACACAGAGGGGCAGAAGTGCAAGCAGACTCTGGCTGTGCCTCTCAGGGCACAAAGCACAGGGCACAACCTCAGGAAACCCTGGACAGGGCTGGCTCAGCACGTGCATCCCCATCACCCTGGGGCAGCCGGACCTTCGGGGTCCAGGTGGGGGTGAAGTGAGCGCAGTAGCTCTATTTGGAGACACCATGGTCTCAGATCTTAAAGTAAATAGCACAATAAATGAAATGCCTAGAGCACTGTAAGCAAGTGTTTGCTCTGAAGGAGGGAGAGAAGGAAAGAAGGAAGGGAGCGGGGCAGGGAGGAAAGGACTTCCTGTGGCCCGAGGGTGGCACTGCCTTGCTGGCCATTTGCACTCGGCCTCTTTGCCGGAGCAGTGGGTCTGGCACCTCCCTCCAGGGCCTGGGTTTGAGCCAGGCAGTGAGGTTTGGGACCCTGACCTGCGTGCCACCGGCCACCGCTGGAGCGACTTGAGGCCAGCCCACCTCTGGGGCCTCATCTGCCCTCTAGGGCCCTGTGCTCTGGTCCACAGCACCAGCCAGATGACAGTCTCTCACACTGACTTGCTGACACCCGTGCAGCTGGGACAGCCACGGGGCCTGGGCCTGCCAGTGGGATGGGGGCTTCTAGGACAGCCTGCCTTCCTGGTAGAGGGTCATGATGTGCCAGCCCTCTGCCTATGCCTCCTTCCTGCCTTGAATGTGCCTGCTTTCCCCACGGGGAGGCTGTGAGAACAGTAGAGAGGTCACAGCACTGCCGCCTTCTGTGTGAGTGCCTCCCAGCGCGGCCCAGGGTGCTCCTGACTGATCAGCACTCAGAAGTGTCTGTTGGGAAAGCACTGTGAGCTGGAAACACACAGGGCCAGGGCTGCCTCAGGGCTCCTCCGCATCTGGTGTGGCCTCTGGCCCTGAGACCCCAAGGCCTGGCTGCTTCTCCCCAGGATGAGCCGCTCCTGCCTCTGCACGGTCCCAGGGGCTCTGTGGACACCCTGCTTCCCTTCCCCCGGGGCCCCAGCTGTGAGCTGACGCTCTACCCTGTGTGTGCAGCCCCCGCTCACCCCAGGAGCCCGGAGCCCAGGCACAGGAGCCAGGGATAATTTGGGAGGCGGAGGTCTGGAGTGAATGGGTCAGAGCTGCTGGATCGGGAGGGGAAGCCAGCCAGGGTGGGACCCAGGTCCAGGGAGCTTCCTTCGGGAGAGGCCCCTCCAGCAGGAGGAGCTGGAAAGGCATCGTGGGGTAGGGAAGGTGCACTCACAGGCACCGGGAGGGGCTGCAGTTACCACTAAGGGAGGCTGGAGGCCAATTAAGGTGGCTTTGGGCCACAGTGGGCAGGCAGGTATCATCCTGAGGACCCTGGGGCCACGGGGAGCAGGCCAGCGCCAGCCTGAGCGTCCAGGGACACGGTGAGCAGGCGGGACCGTCCCAAGGGCCTCAAGGCCGTGGTAAGCAGCGGGTGCCATCCTGAGGGGCCAGGGCCCTCTGTTCCTTCACTTGCCCATTGGTTCAGTAAACATCACCCGAGCCTGACCACATGGCAGGTGTGGGGAACGCAGCAGGTGGCGAAGTCCTGCACCCACGGAGCTCCTGGCACTTACACCCTGGTAGGTGGAAACCACCACCAAGGCCAGGAGTTGGACGCGCCGTGTGTCCTGTGCTGGTGCTTGGGGGGAGGAAGGCAGGAGTGAGGGTGATCTGGACAGGCGGCTCCCCTGGGAAACCAGCTGGGCAGGGAAGGTCCCAGGGACACTTGGGGAGCTGTGTGCCAGGCACAGGTATAGCGCATGCAGAGGCCCGGGGGCAGAGCCAGCCCAGCCCGCAGGAGAAGGAACTGGGGTTGAGAGGGTGGGAGCTGGGAGACAGGAAGCCCCAGGCAAGCGTGGGCGGCCTGGGTGGGGACAGCTCTCCCTTCTCAGAGGACCTCAGTGGCCTCCACTCAGCAACCACAGTGACCTTCCAATACACCAGGCAGATCCTGCCGCTCCTGGCTCGGAGCCTTCCGTGGCTCCCCAGGACCCTCAGGAAAGAGCCCCGGTCCCCCCAGCGCCACTGCCTGCCTTTCCTGCCCACCCCCAGGCCCCGAGGGCCAGGCTCTCCCGGCCTCTGAATGAGCTGTGCCCTCCTCAGGAAGTGGCTTTGGGCCCTGCCCCTTGTCCAGCCACCTCCTGCCCGTCCTCCTCAGGGCGGGCCTCTCCTGCTCTTAAGCTCCGTGGGTCTCTGGCAGCCAGGCAGAGCTCCACAAACCCCGCCTCCGCTGCTTTTCTGCTGTAGAGGCAGGATGTCCCCAGCCCATCCTTGAAGAAGGCACCTCCCCAACCTCAGCCACTCTGCTCTGGGGTCTCAGGTCTTCCTTCCCCAAAGAGACCAGAAGTGGAGAAAGGTGGGGACTGACCCAGGGATCTGGGGCAGCAGGGCCTGAACAAGCCGCCGGAGGCACTGCCAGTGTGGGCGCAGACTGAGCACCTGGGCCACCACCAACTGTGAGCGTGCCCGGGAGGCCCACCAGGACTTCCAGGGGGATGCCGAGGCAGAGTGTACTGCAGGAGGTCAAGACTTCAGGGCCCGGCCTGGCTTGGTGTGCAGGGTCTCGGGAGCAATGGACCAGCTCTCCGGATGCGCCCACATCCCTGTGTGTCCCCATTCCCTCTGATGCACCCCCCCAGGATCCAGGCTCTGCTTGCCGCAGGCCCACGCTCCCTGGACGTCCCCTTCCCACCTCTGGCACCTACTTACCAGCCAGACGACGAGAGAGTAGTGGCCGCGGGCAGCAGCAGCGTGCAGGGCGCTCATGCCGTCGAGAGCTCGAAGGTGCACGTCGGCGCCACAGTCCTTCACCAGGAACTGCGCCAGGTGCAGGTGGCCCTCCTGGCAGGCCAGGTAGAGAGGAGAGGCGCCGCTGAGCGTCCGCCGGTTCACACCGCTGCAGGGAAGGGAGGGTTTGGAGGGCCAGTCCCTGCTGGTGGCTGAGCTCAGCACTCGCTGCGTGGATGTCACCACGACCTCTGTCCCTGCCCGTGACAGCCAAGTTTCCCATGTTCTTTCCAGCTGCGGCTGTGGGGTCTCCTCCCCCAGGCAGCCGTGTAGCCCCACTGCCCTATCCTTCTGTCCTTTTCTGGGGATCCTGGGTCCAGGTCAGAAACATGCATCTTCTTAGACCTGGGGGGTCACAGTCTTGGCTTCCAGGTTCTCAGCTGTCCTGGTGGAAGCTCAGGATTGACCCCCGACTCCTGTGCCCTGCGGCAGGCAGTGCAGGGTGCCTGGTGGCCATGGCGGCCTGCAGTGAGCTACGGGCTGCACTGACTGGGCTGGGGTCACAGCAGCAGGGTGGAGGCAGGGCCGGCGTCACCGGGCAGCGTCAACTCTCCCGGCTCGTGCCTGCTGTCCTGCCAAGCCTGCTGACCACGACACCCTGTCTCAGATCCTCTACCTCCCAGCCCTTCTCCTCTCAGGAGGGGAGGCTGGGGAGTAATGAGGGCTCTCATGAGTACCCCCACACCTGTTCCCCATTTCCGATGGATGAATCCGAGCAACTTGGGGTCCACCCCAGAGGTGAGTCCAAAGGCTTCAGCTGGCAGAGGGTAGACTGAGGCTGGGAGCTGATTTGCCCAGGGGCCTGCACCTGGGTTTGAACCCCCCCTCCCTCACAAAGTCCCTGCCGTTGCCTGCCCCCTAGCAGCTTCTCGCAAGGGTGAAACAGGACCCTGGCTGTGCCCTGGGCTCAGACCACGCAGGGATCATCCTGTGTGAATGGTGTGTGGTGGGTGTGTGGTGTTTGTCGTATGGGTGTGGTGTGTGTGATGTGGGTTGTATGTGGTGTGTGATGTATATGTGATGTGAGTGTGGTGTATGCGTGGTGTGTGGTGTGTGTGTGGTGTATGGTGTATGGTGTGTGTGGTATGTGTGTGGTGTGTGTGGTGTGTGGTGTGTGTGTGTAGTGTGTGTGATGCAGTGTGTGTGTTGTGTGTTGTGTGTGTGATGAGGTGTGTGTAGTGTGTGGTGTGTGTGATGTGTGTGTGTGATGTGGGGGGTGTGTGTGTGTGATGTGTGTGGGGTGTTTGTGTGTGGGGTGTGTGTGGTGTGTGTGTGGTGTGTCAGTGGTGTGTGTGGTATGTGATGTGTGTGGTGTGATGTGTATGGTGTGTGTGTGTGGTGTGTGTGTGATGTGTGTGGTGTGTGTGGTGTGTTGGTGGTGTGTGTGGTGTGTGTGATGTGGTGTGTGTCTGAGGTGTGTGTATGGTGTGTGATGTGATGTGGTGTGTGTGATGTGTGTGGTGTGTGTGTGATGTGTGTGTGTAGTATGTGGAGGGTGTGTGGTGTGTGTGATGTGTGGTATGCGTGTGTGTGTGGTGTGCATGGTGTGTGTAGTGTATGTGTGATGTGTGTGTGGTGTGATGTGTGTGTGGTGTGTGTGATGTGTGTGTGTGGTGTGGTGGTGTGTGTGGTGTGTGTGTGATGTGTGTGGTGTGGTGGTGTGTGTGGTGTGTGTGTGATGTGTGTGTGTGGTGTGTGATGTGATGTGTGTGTGAGATGTCATGTGAGATGTCGTGTGATGTGTGTGGTGTGTGTGTGATGTGTGTGGTGTGTGTGTGATGTGTGTGTGTGGTATGTGGGGGGGATGTGGTGTGTGTGATATGTGGTGTGTGTGGTGTGTGTGATGTGTGCGTGTGTGGTGTGCATGTGGTATATGTGTGCTTACATATTAACATGAAGTTTTCTGGTTTTCTTTTTTTTAAGGCAGGGTCTTGCTGTGTCACCCAGGCTAGAGTGTGGTGGCACAATCTCAGCTCACTGTAACCTCTGCCTCCCAGACTCAAGTGATCCTCTAGCCTCAGCCTCCTGAGTAGCTGGGACTACAGGCACTCACCACCATGCCAGGCTAATTTTAAATAAATGTTTTGTAGAGCTGGGGGTCTCACTATGTTGTCCAGGCTGGTCTTGAACTCCTGGGCTCAAGCAGTTCTCCTGCCCAGCCTCCCAAAATGCTGGGATTACAGGCATGAGCCACTGCGCCCAGCCCATCTCCCAGTTTTCAATGGTGGAGACGTCTCTAAAAGCCGTGTGGGTCTGGGAGACACTGTGGCCACCAAGTCTGGGGGTGGTGTGGACGCTCTGGGGAAAAGCCACAGAAGTGAATCTCAAAGGCCTTTGCCAAGCGGCCCAGGACGGGCACACCTGGGAATGAGAACCCGATTCACAAGCCAGCTGTTAGGGTCCATCCTGGAACTAAAGGGCTGTGGGGGAGTGGGGCCGCTGGGACGGCGACAGGCAAATGAGATGCTCCCTTGAAAAGAGAAGAGCTGTGGTCAGAGGTGGGTGGGTCCCTGGGGGACCCTCAGCCAAGATAGCAGGAGGCAGAGGGTCTGTTTCTGTGACAACGGTGACCTCTGTGCAAGGTGAGAACTGGAAGGCATCCAGGTGGGAGGGAAGCCCTCTACCTCCCTGGCTGTCCTGACCCTGGTCCTTGCTCCTCGCCCATCCACCAACTCCAGCAGGGGACACAGGGCCCTGGAGACGATGACGCCTGTGTCCGGCTCGATGGGTCCTAGTACAGGGACAGGGCAGTGCAGAGGCAACTCCAGCCTCCATGTCCCCAAGGCCACTAGACTGTCCCCACTCCTGTCAGCTGTTGGGAGGGTGCCCTCCCGGGTTGCTGCCCACGTCCCCAGCTGTTTCAGGTCCCGAGATGCCCCCAGGTGGGGCTGGATCTGCCCCGGGCATCACAGCCACATCTTCGTGTTCTTACCACCCCCAGCCATTCTCTAAGGTGAAGCGCTGTCCTGTATCCCCTCGGGCACACAGCATGGCCCAGCCGGTGGGTACAGGCCTCACTGCCCTCAGCTCCTGCCAGCTCGCCCCCACCATGACAGTGTGCCTGCCTGCAGGACTCACCACAAAGGCCACCAGCCTGTCCTCTCGGACCCGCTCAGTGAAGCTTCCCCTTGGCCAGCTGGCCCCAGGCTGCCCCCCCCCAGGCAGGGCTCCAGGCTTCTTACCTGCCGTGTGCCGCCGTCAGGAGCTTCAGGCAGGTCAGGTCCCCACTGACGGCAGCGTGGTGCAGGGGCAGGGCCCCCTCCCGGGTCTCCAGCGTGGCTGAGTGGCCCTCGTGGAGCAGCCACTCCACCAGCACTGGGTGTCCAAAGCGGGCGGCCAGGTGCAGCGGGGAGACACCCGAGGCATCTTGGTCCTACCGAGGCCCAGGCAGGTCAGGAAGTGGGGGACAGGCCCCAACCCTCCCCTGCTGGGCAGCCCGTGTGGCAGAGCCGCTCCCCAAGGTGGGCCCGGGCGAGGGCTCACACTGCCTGCAACCCAGCGAAGGGCCTTCCAGCTTCTCCCTCCTTCCCTGTCTCTGCCTACAACATGGAGGGAGGCCCTCCCTGTTGGGACTGAAGTGAGAGGAGGGCCAGGACTCAGGGGCAGGACTTGGGAGGTCACCTCTGGCCGTCCTGTCCCCAGTATGAAAACGGCCCTTTCCCACTCAGCTAGGTGCCTGCAGCCCCCGCCCACTGCTTATGGTCAGAAAGGCTTCCCAGGATACCTGCCTCTGGCTGGTCCCCTGTCCCAGTGCCCTCCCGCTGGCCACAGAGCCTCAGGGCCAGGGAGCATCCCATCACAGGTGTCATGGGTCCGGCAGACCTGGGCCTTCTCTGAGGGCCCTGTGGTCAGAATGGATCCCCAGAGAAGCACAGCTCCCGCCTGCTGCCCTTGAACTTGGCGGACGGGCTGCCCAGAACAGGAGGCTGGGCTGGGACCCTCAGGTGCTCTGGAGAGCCAGGTGGGGGGACCTTCCACTCCCTTGTCTCAGCAGGTCCCGCTGCCCCCACCCCAACTCTAACCTAGGGGTGGCGTTCTAAGGCCGGTCAGGCCTGCTCACCGTACTCCTGAGAGCTCCACAGGGCTGAGTGACAGCTCTGAGGCCCTCGCCTGCACGAAGGGCACTGGGCAGGCAGGAGAGGGGAGGGGGCCACAGTAGAAACACTCTGGACAAGATGGCCACCATCAGCGGCCCCTCACTCCCATCCCCCGGGGCCGGGCTCCCAGCTCGCAAGCCTGAAGTCCCACAGTGCTGCTCTAAGGACTTTTTTCTAGACCCTTTGGGGAGCAGCCCCGTGGGCCAGGCCTGAGGAGAGACAGGTGTCCTGACCTCAGCAAGACACCCCACTGGCAACGAAGCGCTCCTGGCAGAGGAGGTGATAAGAACATTGAGGAGGTGGCCTTGCCACTCAAGGCTTTGTGCTTCGGGAGGTGTGGGACAGGGACTGAGTCCCCAAGAGAAACAAAGGGCCAGGGCCACGGAGGCCGGGGGCCAGTGCTCTGAGCCTCCTTGCTGCATGCCTCCCTGGTTCCACGCCAGCCAGGTTTGTGGAGGCCAGGCTGCCCCGTCCCCGCTCACCTGCAGACCACAGCCCCCCTCTCGGACCAGCCAGCACAGCTCAGCCAGGCTGCCCGTGGCGGCGGCATCATGCGCTGGGGTGGCGCCGTTGTGGGCCCGCTGGTTGCCAGGCAGCTGGGCCCGCTGCACCAGAAACTTGACGCAGTCCAGGTGGCCAGCCCGGGTGGCGTGGTGAACCAGGCCGGCCCCCAGAGCATCAGTGATGCCTGGGCCCAGGGCGCCAGCCTCCAGCAGCCGCTCCAGTGCTGCCACATCCCCGTCCTTGGCGGCCACAAGTGCCTGCTGCTCCTCCATCCTCTGGCCTGGGCTCTCGGCGGTGACTCATGCACAGGCCGGGGCTTCCTGTTTCAGACGTGGATGAAGCTTGCCGGCTCTGGTTACCCGATAGCCGCCACAGGGCAGATGGGAGGCGGCAGGGCAGGGTGGGTGGGACAGGCCTTGGGGACCTGCCCAAGCCACTCCCACAGTGTGAGAGCGCCAGGTGCCTGGAGCTGGGAAGATAGAGTGCAGGGCACAGGGGAAGGCCTGGACCGAGACAGGCCAGGGCTGGGCATGGCCAGCAGAGAAAGGAGGACAGCACCAAGGCTACCCCAACCTGTCCAGATGGCTGGAACCCACCTCTTCATCTACGAAGCCAGGGCTGAGGACACGTGCCACCAAGCTTCTCACAGGAGTCCTGAGTGGCCTGGGAGACAGTTTCCCCAATCCTCATAGAAGCACAGACCCCCAGCCACCACCAGCATGTCTGAAGGGTGCCCAGTAGGTCTACGTTTGGCCGGGTTGACACCCAGAGCTGAGCACCCCACCTCTGGATCCCAGCCCTCCGCCCTGGAGGCTCCCATAAACCTCTGGGGACACGGTGGTTCCACAGGGCCTGTGATAGGCTCAGAACCTTGACGTGGGCGTGTCCAGGCCACCCGGGCGGTCTCAGCCCCTGTCTCAGCCCCCGCCTCAGCCCCCTCTCCAACCACATGACCCAGCCTCCGGGCTGCAGCCCAAGAGGCCCAGGTGCATTTAACCCCTTTCCAGATTGTTCTAGACAATCCGTAGTTTTGGTTTGGGGATATTAGAACCACCACAGCCTCTTCCTGATAGCAGTGGGAAGCTGCAGACGGGGGACCCACTACATCTGTACATTTATAGAGGCTCCTGGAGACGCTACCTCAAGTGGGGTTTCTGGGCTAACGCGTCATCATCACACCACAGTGACCGGGGAGCGGCTGCAGCCCCTCCCACCACCACAGGCTCAGTCAGGATCTTCATACCGCAAGCGCAGCGCCCACTGGAGAAACGGCAGGCGGTCCGAGCCGAGCACTGAAATCCTTTATTTGTTCATTTAGTTTCTGGCAAGTGTTTCCTCAAAATCATCATGTAGTTTCTTGAACCATAAAACCACACATTAAAAATGTTATTTCACTGAAAGTGACTCCTATGCAAATACCAACTTGGGATGTGTGTCCAAATGCCACAGAGCATTTGAGAAAAGAATCCTTTGCAAATAAAATCGAGGTAAAAGCTGAGTCAGGGATGACCCGATTCTACACCTCAGGAATGACCTGGGGCTGTACAAGCACCAGCTCAGCGAGGCTGGAGGTGAACCCTGAGTCCGTGACCACAAGGGACAAGAGAGGGCCTGGGGACTGAGGCCGGGAAAGCATGCAACCTTGAGTGCTGGTGGGTGCAACAGAGTCAGGCTGGGGACGCAGGAGGGTGGTGGGTGCCGAGCGGAACAGGCCTGGCCGAGGCGGGGTGTCGGCGGTCCCCCCATCTGGGCACCGAGGAAGGAGAGCTCAGTAGATCCCTGGCACAATGAGTGCCTGAAGAATGTCTTAGTTTATAGTGTTACTACCCAGTTAGTTCCTTTGTATAATCCTTCTATTGGTTTACAGTCAGGACAATTAGCGCCTGAAGAGTATCTTACTACTCAGTCATTTCTTTTTATATATATATTTTATAGTCGGAGGAATGTCTAGAGCAGACACGGTGCTGAGCATGATTTAAAGGAAAAACAATTATATCAGGACAATAATTTATGGCCCAAAAGGTAGTGCCTCTGCCTGAAAGGGCACGCACTACATGGCAGGCTGGCCTAGGCGGCAGTGTTCAGTATGGTAAAGACACCCGCTGTATGGCAGGCTTGGAGCAAGAGTCACTCCTCCTGAAAAGGAGTTCCAGTACCTTGCGTCCAGTTCTTGTGGAAAGCTGGCCCCTGGCAGGCAATCCTGCCAGTGTCCAAGGGCTTAAAACCCCTCCGGTATAACTGTGCCTTGGTGGCTGTGAACATTGTCAGCTCTGTTGTTGCCGTGCTGGCTCAAAGCATCCTCCTACAGACATCCTTAGAAGCAGCCTGCCCATAGATGAGATGATGCACACTGCCCCCTCCTTACTGCGTGCCGCCCGCCTCCTCGGTGACCTGATGGGGGTGGGCCCCTTGCTTACCGCTCACTTGACTGTCTTGACCCTATCACTATCCTTCAGGTCACTTCACTCACTACCCTGCCCCCAAACTATACCCAATAAATAGATGCTTCCGGGTGTTCGGGGCCTCGTCTGTCTCCGCTTATAGGTGGCGTGCGCACCCCCCAGCAAGCCCAGCTGCACTTTCTTTGTCCTTCTGTGTCCTGTCTCTTTATTTCTTGGATCCTGCGCCTCAGCACAGTGACAGGGGACACCCCGTGACCCTGTAGGGCATGACCCTACAGCTGGGTCCACTGTGGCCGAGGCCAGAGGAGCAGGGCTGGTGGAGGCAGCCTCTGGAAAGCGCCTGAGAAGTGATTGCTCTGGAAAGGCGCACGTGGGAAGCCACGATCAAAGCAAAACAATCAGTTTCCTATTTTCATGATAGCATTTGCCTGACGATGAGTTATAAATACTTGGATTCTACCTTCTAGATAAAAACACGACGTTCCAGGAAAGTGCACTCACGATAGGCTTGCCCCATTCCCAGGAGGGTGGATAAAGCTGGTGTTTCCACATCACCATTGGAGGATGGGCCTGTGTGAGTTCTGCAGTGGGCGGTCCTATGCTGTGGGTGGTCCTATGCTGTGGGCGGTCCTATGCTGTGGGTGGTCCCATGCTGGTGTCCTGGGCCCTGTGAGCTCCGCAGGGGTCCAGGGAAGGAAGCTGGGTAGGGTTGGGGGGGGGAAGTGCACACTCCCCTGCAGGCGCTCCAGGACCAAATGCAGAAGGGGGCATGAGACAGTCATCCTGGCACAGCCCGTAGGAGGGAACTGAAGGGACAACCCTGTGCCCTGTGATGGGCTTCCTAGGAGCAGGCAGGGAGGGCACCGGCGCTAGGCCTGGTCCTCCAGCTGCGCCACCGCCTGCTTCAGGTCCTGCACGACGAGGTCCACCTCGGCCCTGGTGGTGCTTCGGCCCACGCTGAGCCGGAGCGCGTTCCTGGCCACATCGAAGGGGACGCCAGAGTTCAGCAGCACTGGGGATGGCCTGGGATGGGAGAAACCGCGCTGCCGCTGAGGGCACAGGGAAGAGGCACAGCTCCTGCTGCTCTGGGCCACTTCCCAGTGGGCTGTCCCCACCCAGGTGCCCACCTCCCCGCCGGCGCCCCCCTCCTGCTGAACTACCCAGACCAAACACACCCCTAAGGCCACCCGCATCAAGGTCCGGCTCAAAGTCGCCCCTACCCCCGCCCTCCCCGTGGAGTTCTCTTGCACTCGACGCCCCCAAGCAACGCTACCCCTCCTGCACTGAGCACCGGGGCCCAGGAGAGCTCCTGTCCTTGAGGGGTCTCAGACAGTGTTCTTGGAGAACACTCATGCTGACACAGACAGTGCCTCACCCGTGGGGCCCGCCTGAGCCACTTGGTAACTTCACGGCATCTGGCACGGGGCTTTGCAGACACTAGGGACCCAGCCAGTATCTAGCCACGGAACAGATAACCGCATTGGGGTGTCCTGAAGCAGGGCTGTCCGAGGCTCGAGGTGTGGGCTCTGTTGAGGGGCCTGCCCTCATCACACCCGGGCCCCTGCCTCCCCTGCCCTGCATTGCCCCTACTGCCGCAGGGCACAGACACTGCCCAGGGCCCCATCTTGCCCCTTTTTCCCCAGAGCTGGGCCCTCCGCCGTCTCACTCCAGGTGCTCCTGCACAATCCTGCCACCCTGACCCTGATGACCACGTGCTGCTGGCCGCAGTTCTGCTCTCTTCCCGGAGCCTCGAGTGTTCCTCCCACGTCCACTTCAACCTCCCACAGGGGCCTCACATTTTTAGCAGGCCAGACCCAGAACTGCTTCTCCCCTGCTGCCAGCAGGCCGCTGCTTGGGCACCCCACGGCCTCTGCCTGGCCCAGGCCACCCGCTCATCTGGTCACCACCATCCCAGAATTTCTGCTCTATCTTGCAGATGGCTGATCTGACACTTGAGTCTCACATCATGGCCCTCAGGGCTCCCACTTCCTGGAGGTTTCAGTGAGCACTGACAGTTGGGCCATCCCTGCCCCAGTCCTCTCCAGCCTGTCCCCATCCTTTCCAGCCCACCCCAGTCCTCCCCAGCCCCTGCCACACTGCCCCTCCAGGCCCTGCTGCCCCTGCCTTCAGAACTGAGCAAGAGAAGCCCCCTTCTCCTTCATAAGTTCTAGTCCTTCAGACGGCAACTTGGAGGTCACTTCTTCTACGAAGCCCTCCCTCTGCCCTGCTAGGGTCCAGGTAGGGCTGGCTTCACCAGCCAGAGTGCGGCCCAGTGGCCATATCCTGATGCCTGCCCACCACACCCAGTGCCCGAAGCACTGCTGTGCCCTGGACTGGGTTTGTGAAGAGCACTTACTGGTCCCCGTGGTCCGAGTGGCACGCGGCCCCCACACTGGCCATCAGCACTTGGCACTGTGCGAGCACCATGCGTCCTGTGGAGACAGAGCACATGCCCCTGAGATGGGGCTCCTGCAAGGCCACCCTTCTCTCCCTTCCCAGGGTCCTGCTGGGCGCAGGCTGCTTCCCTCCCTCCAGGCCATCTGGTGAAATTCCAGCGTTGCCCAGAGCTGGGGAGAGAGCTCACAGCAGGAACCGACGAAAATGCTTCCTCTTCCTTTCTCCCCTGGCCGCAGACAGACACACACAGACACTATTCTGCCTCACAAAGCTGGCCTTGAAAACGGCGCCTGTAATCAACTGCCTGCAAAGACACCTGGAGTCCTGACCCGCTCCTTCCTTACGAGCTTGCAGGCCTGGCAATGTCACATCGACACCTGTGCTCTGGAAGACACGTCAGAGTTCTATGAAGCTGGAAGGCATTTCCCCCTTCTTTCACAAGCACAGAGATTAATAACTGCGACGTAATTAAAATGAGAATTTTGGCCAGGTGCAGTGGCTTACACCTGTAATTCCAGCACTTTAGGTAGGATTGCTTGAGCCCAGGAGTTGGAGACCAGCCTGGGCAACACAGGGAAACCCCATCACCACACATTTTTTTAAAAAAATTGGCCATGGCCAGGTGCAGTGGCTCACGCCTGTGACCCCAGCACTCTGGGAGGGTGAGGCAGACAGGTCACCTGAGGTCTGGAGTTTGAGACCAGCCTGGTCAACATGGAGAAACCCCACCTCTACTAAAAATACAAAATTAGCCAGGCATGGTGGTGCGTGCCTGTAATGCCAGTGTGTCATGAGGCTGAGGCAGGAGAACCCCTTGAACCCAGGGGGCAGAGCGTGCAGTGAGCCAAGATCAAGCCACCGCACTCCAGCCTGGGCGACAGAGTGAAACTTAGTCCCTCCCCCCAAAAAAAATTAGCCAGGTGTGGTGGTGCACACCTGTAACCTGTAGTCCCAGCTACCAGGGAGGCTGAGGCAGGAGGATCACTTGAACCCAGGAGGTCAAGGCAACAATGAGCTGTGATCGCGCCTGGGCAACAGAGTGAGACCCCGAATCAAAAAATAAATAGAATAAAATGAGAATCACCGTCTCATTTAAAGTAGCACAGGTCGTCACTGAATACAAAGTCTGACCCCAGAACAAAGGGAACGTTGCCAGAGAACTCCCCTTTCCATGGTGAGGAATCTGAGATGATCAAGGAGACCCATGCCTCCTTGCCCACAAGAACGTGTTTCAGCCGGGTTCTCATGAACGCAGCCACCATGACGGGTACCCACAGGCTCTTCTTCATGAGCCAGACACGTCTGCCGGGTCTCCCTGCATGATCCAGGAAGAAGAATGACGCAACACCTTCATCTTCTCAGAAGCCAAAAACTCATCTACAGATGCAGCTCATCGTGCTCTTGGGCCACTATAACTTCCTCCCGAATGACAAGCGGCTGGTCGACGACCCGGACTTCCACTCTCAGGGTGCTGGGGCAGACCAGGTCTTAGGCGCATCTGGGATAGGGGTGATCCTAACTGTTCCGGCCGAGGCAAATGTCACGAGACATCCAGATTTGCACTTGATCCTTACTCTGCCGGTTAGTTTTTTGTTTGTGACCACAGTCTCCCTCACTGTTGTGCAGCCCAGGCTGGAGTGCAGCGGCTCAATCTTGTCTCACTGCAACCTCTGGGTTCCAGCAATTCTTCTGCCTCAGCCTCATGAGTAGCTGGGACTGCAGGCACACACCACCATGCCCGGCTAATTTTCTGTAGTTTTTGGTAGAGACAGGGTTTCACCGTGTTGTCCAGGCTGGTCTCGAACTGGTCGCAAGTGATCCACCCACCTCGGCCTCCTCCCAAAGTGCTGGGATTACAGGTGTGCGCCACCGTGCCCAGCATCTGCTGGTTTTTAAAACTGATCACCTCCCCTTTTGCCTACTCTGATGAAATATTTAATAAAACTTGCTAACAGAGGTCGGGCTTGGTGGTTCACACCTGTAATCCTAGCACTTCAGGAGGCCGAGGCGGGCAGATCACAAGGTCAAGAGATCATGTTGGCAAACATAGTGAAACCCCATCTCTACTAAAATATAAAAATTAGTTGGAGGTGGTGGCACGTGCCTGTAGTCCCAGCTACTCGGGAGGCTGAGGCAGGAGAATTGCTTGATCCGGGGAGGCAGAGGTTGCAGTGAGCTGAGATCATACCACTGCACTCCAGCCTGGCACCTGGCGATAGAAAAAGACTGTCTCAAAAAAAAAAAAAAAAAAAATTGCTAACAGAATAGACACATGTCTAACATTCAGTTAATGTTCCTTCCTTCCCTGACAGCTTTTGGGGCGGTGCTAATGTCAGACATGAGAATGCGCCACAGTCCACAACCCAGCAGCAGCAAAATGAGCCAAGTCAGGGAGAGGAGGGGCTGGTGGCAAGAGCCCCATGAGCCACAGCATAGCCACCCAAGCCTGCCCTCAGCAGCCCTAGCAAGGCCCCATGACCACACAAGCTGTGTCATGCCCAGGGCAGGGTGAGTGGGAGGCGCTGGCTCAGCCCGGAATCCAGGCAGCGCAGGAGCTGTGCTCACACTGTGGAAAGACCAGGGTGAGGGGCTGTCACCTTGAAGCCGGGGTCCCCGGATGGAGAAGTTGCAGGTGTTGGGAAGCCGCTCGGTCCCTGGAAACTGACTATTCAGATGGATTCTCTTCTGACCAAATTCAGCCTGAAAAAAATAAGCTGAAATAGCTGGTGACAGCCTCAAAGACCGCTCCCCGACCAGCAACTGCTTGAAATTTAGACTTTTCCAGAAACACAGCCTTGGCAGGTAAATACTTTTCAACCAGCATCTACCTAGAATAGTTAGGGAAACGGACTATGGGAGGCAAAGTTAATGAGGAGAAAACCTGAATATTCTGAAACATGAACCTTCCACACAGATCATAATGAATACCACCTCTGCATGTTTTATCATGTGTCTCTGAAAAAGATCGTCCCCCTGGTCTAGGGTTTCTCATCCCAATGCACTTCGCTCCATTCTTCCCTCACTGCATCCTGATGAGCTCCAGGCTCCGCTGCAATCCCCACAGGCCCTGGGGTCCGCCAGCACCCCACACCCTGTCTCCAAGCACCTACCCCATGCACCCACCCCACGCTGTACTCACCTCCAGCCTCTCCTCCAGGTAATCCCGGATGTCCCTCATGTGGGCCTCATAAGCCTCCCAGTTCTGGGTCACCAGCTCTGCAGCCTGGGGGAAGCACATTTATTTGCAAAACAAAGGAGTGAAAAAAAGCTTTAAACAGCACAGGTGACACTTCCTGAAACTGCTCATTCTCTTGAGTCATAGACAGAATGCATTTTTTGGGTGCTGCCATTTGCAGGATGTGGAAGTGCCACCGAAATCAACTTTACCAGGCACTTCCCGACAGCGCCAGGCACTTCCCGACAGCGTGCACTTCCTGACTGCGCCAGGCACTTGAAATGCCCCAACAAGACAGCCCTAAGGGGGATCCCAGCCCTGGAGGAGCCCATGTCCCAGAAAGGTGGATGGACAAAAGCAGGAGAAGAGGGGAAGACCCCCACCCACCAGTCAGCGCTGTGAGGGACCCCATAGGCCCGAGGTGGGCTGGTGACAGAGATGGCTGCTCGAGGGCAGGGAACAACGTCCCAGCAAAGGCTCTGCAGGGGCCAGCCAGCCATTCTGTCTCCAGAACAGAGGGGCCTGGTGTGGCGGGTGTAGAGTGCAGGGACAGATTGGCAGCCCTGCAGGCCTGGCCACGGGGCAGATGCAGTGAAGCTCTGAGGGAGGGGTGATGGTCTGACCGGCCTGTGGAATGGCCATCCTGCGGCCCTGTGGGCAGTGACAGCAGCAGGCCCCCGGGAGGCCATGGCAGCATCCAGGGCCCTTGGTCTAGGGTTGGTGGCCATGAAAACAGACATGAGGCAGGTCCTGGGTGTATTTTGGAGTCCAGACAGACAAGACTGGTGTGGCATGAGAGGCAGGGGACGATGACAACGAAGGACTGAGGGCACCTCCTGGACTTCAGACCTGAGAACCTGGATACCAGGAGGTGCCCAGGGTGGGAAGAGGGTGGAGAGAGGGTGGGACATGTTTTGATCTCAGAGGAATGGGCCTCCCAGGAGATGGGCCAGGGCCTGCCCAAGATGTCAAGTTCAAAGGCAGGAGCACAGGCTAGCATCACAGTGACAGGACAGACGGAACCACGAGGGTGCAGGGAAGGCCGCCAGCACACAATCAAGGCAGAAAGGAATGGGTGGGGGAAAGCATGCAGGGTAGGTGTGTGCAGGATGGAGTCCAGGCTGGGTGGCGGAGGGAGGCTATCTAGAGCGCTGGTGGGGTCAGGGTCTCGGCGCTGGGTGAAGCTGAGAACCACTGGGGCTGTGGTGCTGGGGCTGAGACCGAGCCTTGGCACTTCTGCTGTTATGGGTGCAGATGCAACCCCAGAAGCACGGAGGTCAGGGGCTGGGGGGCTTCGAGCATTGTGAGCTGAGGCTCTAGTTAGGAAGCTGCTACATATTCCCTTCTGGCGGGGGATAGCCATGACTCAGGGAGTTTAAGCAACCTGACCCAAGGCACACGGCAAGTGAACTTTCAAGCCAGGATTTGAACCCTGGATATTTCAAAGCCTGTGGACCACATCACTGCTTCATCATTCAGGTTAATATGAGCAGGTACTGGACCCCACTTAAAATGCACTCTTTGGCTGGGCACGGTGGCTCACTCCTGTAGTCCCATCACTTTGGGAGGCCAAGGCAGGTGGATCACTTGAGGTCAGGAGTTCGAGACCAGCCTGGTCAATATCATGAAACCCTGTCTCTACTAAAAATACAAAAATTAGCCAGGCGTGGTGGCGCACGCCTATAGTCCTAGCTACTCAGAGGCTGAAGTGGGAGAATCTCTTGAACCCAGGAGGCAAAGGTTGCAGTGAGCTGAGATTGCACCACTGCATTCCAGCCTGGGTGACAGAGTGTGACTCCATAACACACACACTCTTCCTTCTAGTAAACGTAGCCTTAGTTATCACTGTTAAGAATATAATTTTGAATACTCTAACAGGGAATCCATTCACACTCTTCCCAAGGCCCGGCCTCAGGGGCCCAAGCCCTTTCTTCTGTACTGGGGATGCTAAGGCAGACATGGCCACGAGCCCCTTCAAAGGGGAAGCAGGAGGTGGGGCATCCATCATACACACTGCAGAGAAACATCAGATGGGGGACACAGAGTGGCAGCAGGGGGCAGGGGGACCAGTGTAGCTGTGGTTCATGGAGGGCTGCTTGAAGAAAGTGGGCTTTGAGCAGAGGCCTCCTGCACAGAGGGGGAGCAGTCCGAGACGCAACCAGGAACCCTGCCTTCGCATGGCAAAACCTGAGCCTGGTTACTGTCACAGAAGCAGGACAGGGCCCGGTGCAGGGCTGGCGGCAGGTGCTTCACTGGCCATGATGCCTCACACCCCACAGACCTATCGGGGACTGAGAGTTGATGGTACAGGGGCTGCCGACACCTTTGGGAATGTGTGAACCTATGGCCTGATGCTTCACCTCTGCTGTAACGATACCAGTTTCTCGTGTCAGAAGAGACAGAGACAAGGAATCTTTTCGTTTTAGATGCTACGCCAGTGCCGCCACTCCACAGATCTGAAAAAGTACAGCTCTCCAGGCTGATAAATAAGATTCTAGGCTTTTTCTTGTCAGTCCGCTTATGAGATCATGAACATGATCTCCCTGAAGTCCCAGATTCCTACTAGAGCTGCTGGGGAAACTGAACCAAAGCAATCAACTCATCCTCTCAGTCACCAGGCAGGGCTCACCTTCCCAAGGCCAGCAATCATTGGGGTGTTCTCTGTCCTGTAAGAAACAAGGAATTAAGCAAGAATAAACCAATGTCTCAGGAAGGACTCCTATCTACATGAAAGTCATTGTGCTGAAATAAAAACACTCACACTCCATCCCTCCTGAGCATGTGCCCTGTGGCTTATCTCAATGGCAGCTGCAGGCCCCAGAAACCTCCCCTGCCGAGTTTTCACTTGTCCTGGCCCAGTGAAGATCAACAAGGCCCACTGTGGGTGACGTGTCAGGTGTTCACTTTGACAATTCTATCTGGATCCTGTTCCTAAAGAAAGCACTCTTCTTCCTGCAGGCCCAAGGCACAGCTCTCTTTGGTTCTCACTGCCAAACAGGGATGATATGGGACAGGGGAGAACCCTTTGTTTTCAGATTTCAGGCCTCAGCAAATGAGTGGGGGGGGGGGTGTGTGTGTACGTGCACGCACACTCACAGGAGATGTGCAACGGACCCTAAAGAAAATGCCTCGTATACTCTGACCTAAAAACTGAACAGAACTTATTACCCTATTTCTAGAAAAAAAAAAAAAAAAAAAAAAAAAAAAAAAAAATTAATAATTTCTCTCTTTTTTTTTTTTTTGAGATGGAGTCTCACTTTGTCACCTAGGCTGGAGTGCAGTGGCGCAATCTGAGCTCACTGCAACCTCCGCCTCTTGGGTTCATGTAGTTCTCTTACCCCAGCCTCCCGAGTAGCTGGGATTACAGGCGTGCGCCACCACGCCAGGATTTTTGTATTTTCAGTAGAGATGGGGTTTCACCATGTTGGCCAGGATGGTCTCAAACTCCTGACCTCGTGATCTGCCTGCCTTGGCCTCCCAAAATGCTGGGATTACGGGCATGAGCCACCACGCCCAGACCAATAGTTTCTTAAGTTTGGCTGAACAAAGTTTTCTTAACCCTCTGGACCCGGCTATTGCTCGTTTACTGGCAGACATTTCCTCTGTGCCCTCACCAGCAGTTGCTGCTGTCTCCATTCTTGAATAATCGTAGCCATTCTGATAGGTGCTGTTAGGTGGTGTCTGCTGGTTTTAATTTGCATTTCCCCAATAACTAGTGCTGTTGAACATCTTTTCCTATGCTTGTTACCTGGGTCTCCTATTTGGTGAAATGTCTGTTTCTACTTTTTTTGCCTATTTTCTGATTGAATTTTTTATATTATTTTTGCTGTTGAGTTTTGTGAGTTCTTGATATATTCTAGACACTATTCCGTTGTCACGTCATTTGAAAATATTTTTTTCCTAGTATGTAGCTTATCTTCTCATCTTCTTAATATGGTCTTTCCCAAAGCAAAAGCTTTAAATTCTGATGTAGTCTAATTTATCAATTTTTCCTTTTATGGATGCTTTTGGTGTCACCTCTAAGAACTCTCTGCCTAGTCCTAGAACTTGAAGATTTTCTCCTATTTTTAAATGGTTTTATCGCTTTATGTTTTACATTTAATTTCATAATCTATTTTGAGTTAATATTTTCTAAGGTATGAGACAGGGGTGTCTAATCCTTTGGCTTCCCTAGGCCACACTGGAAGAATTGTCTAGGGCCACATATAAAATACACTAATGATAGCTGATGAGCTTAAAAAAAGAATCACCAAAAACAAACAAACAAAAAAAACCCACAATGTTTTAAGAAAGTTCATGAATTTGTGTTGGGCCATATATTCAAAGCTGTCGTGGGCCGCATGCAGCCCACAGGCGGCAGGTTGGACAAGCTTTGTGTAACACTTGGGTCAAGCTTCATTTTTTTGCTTACGGATGTCTAACTGCCTTGGCGCCATCTGCGGAAAGCCTTTCACCTGCTGAATTGATCTGCATCTCCCGCAGTTGTATCTGCACCTGTAACACATGTGAGCGTATTTCTGGTTGGGTCTATTTTCCTTCATTGATCTACATGCTGGGATTTTGATAGAAGTTGTATATCAATTTGGAGAGAACTGACATCTTTGGAATGTAGAATCTTCCAATCCATGAACATAGTATGTGTCTCTGCTTAAATCTTCTTTGATTTCTGTCATCCACATTATATTATTTTCAGCATATAAGACCCTTATATTTTGTTAGTTTGTATCTGAGTAATTGTGTTTTGGTGTAAATGGTATATTTTTAATATTACTGTCCACGTGTTCATTACCATTATGTAAAAATAAGACAGATTTTTGTATGTTTGTGTCCTGCAACCTTGCTATACTCACTTATTAGTTCTAGGAGTTTTCTTGTCCATTCCTTGGGATATTTATAGATAGTCGTGTGATTGGATTAGCAACAATTTCACCTCTTCCATTCTGATCTATATGCCTTGTGCTTCCTTTTCTTGCCTTACTGCACTGCCTGGAACTTCCAGCATCATGTTGGATAAGCGTGGTAACAGTGGACATCCCTGCTTTGTTCTCCCAACCACAGGAGTAAAACATTCAAGCTTTCGCCACTGAGTATGATGTTAGCTGTAGGTTTTATGCAGATGTTCAAGTTGAGAAAGTTCCCCACGAATCCTATGATTCTGAGTTGTTTAACATGAACGGCTGAATTTTGTCAAAGGCTTCTGCTGCATCAAATATGATCATGTTATCTTCTTTATTCATTAGCTTGTTAATATGGTGGATTACAGTGATTGAATTTTTTTTTTTTTTTTTTTTTAAGGTGGAGTTTTGCTCTTATTGCCCAGGCTGGAGTGCAGTGGCATGATCTTGGCTCACCACAGCCTCTGCCTCCCAGGTTCTCCTGCCTCAGCCTTCCAAGTAGCTGGGATCACATGCCTGGCTAATTTTGTATTTTTAGTAGAGACAGGGTTTCTCCATGTTGGTCAGGCTGGTCTAGAATTCCCAACCTCAGGTGATCTGCTGCCTCAGCCTCCCAGAGTCCTGGGATTACAGGCATGAGCTACCAAGCCCGGTCCATTAATTGAATTTTTTTATTTTTGTAGAGATGGTCTTGCAGTTTACCTAGGCTGGCCTTGAACTCCTGGGCTCAAGTGAGCCTCTTGCTTTGGCATCCCAAAGTACTGGGAGATTACAGGCATGAGCCACCATACCCTGTCTTGATTGCATGCCTTGATTGCATTTTTTTCTTTTTTGAGACATCTCAGCTCACGGCAATCTCTGTTTCCCTGGTTCAAGTGATTCTTGTGCCTCGGCTTCCCAAATAGCTGGGATTACAGGCAGTTGCCACCATACCTGGCTAATTTTTGTATTTTTAGTAGAGACAAGGTTTTACCATGTTGGCCAGGCTGGGCTTGAACTTCTGACTTCAAGTGATCTGCCCGCTTTGGTCTCCCAAAGTTCTGTGAATACAGGCGTGAGCCACCATGCCTGAATCTAGACTGCATTTTGAATATTGAACCAGTCTTGCATCTGTGGAATAAATGCCACTTGGTCAGTGTATCATTCTTTTTTTTTTTTTTTTTTTTTGAGACAGAGTCTCACTTTGTCACCCAGACTGGAGTGCAGTGGTATAATCATAGCTTATCGCAGCCTCGACCTTCCAGGATCAAGCAATCCTCCTATTTCAGCCTCTCAAATAGCAGGGACTATAGGCCTGTGCCACCATGCTTGACCAATTTTTAAATTTTTTGTAGAGGGGTCTCGCTATGTTACTCAGCCTGGTCTTGAACTCCTGGGCTCAAGTAATCCCCATTCCCCTGGCTCAGCCTCCCAAATACAGGCATGAGCCACCACACCCAGCTGTGTATACTTCTTATGTATTGCTGAATTCTATTTGTAAACATTTTGTTAAACATTTTTTGCAACGAAATTCATGAGGATGGGGAGTGAGTGGGGGCAAAAATAAAGAAAAAAAAAACCAGGAAATTCATGAGGATGTTGGTCTGCAGGTTTTTTTTTTGTACTGTCTTTATCTGGTTTTAGTATCAGGATAATACTAGTTTCTTAAAATGAACTGGGAAATTGTCCTTCCTCTTTATTTTCTGTAAGAAACTGTGTAGAAATGTTAACTCTTCTTTTCTTTTCTTTTTTTTTTTTTTTTTTTTTTTTGAGACAGAGTTTCACTCTTGTTACCTAGGCTGGAGTGCAATGGCGTGATCTCGGCTCACCGCAACCTCCGCCTCCTGGGTTCAGGCAATTCTCCTGCCTCAGCCTCCTGAGTAGCTGGGATTACAGGCAAGCACCACCATGCCCAGCTAATTTTTTGTATTTTTAGTAGAGACGGGGTTTCACCATGTTGACCAGGATGGTCTCGATCTCTTGACCTCGTGATCCACCTGCCTCGGCCTCCCAAAGTGCTGGGATTACAGGCTTGAGCCACCGCGCCTGGCAACTCTTCTTTAAACAAAGAATTATTTGGTAGAATTCTCTAGTGAAGCCATTGGGCCTGAAGACTTCTCTTTAGGGAGTTTTAAACCTATTTCCTATTGGTTAGTTATTCAAATGATCTCTTTTATTTCAAGTGAGTTGTGGTAGTTTGTGTTTTTCGAGGAAGTGGTCAGTTTCATCTAAGTCTGTCAACTTCATATGTGTAGAGCTATTTGTAGCATTGCCTTATTATCCTTTTGATGGCTGCAGGGCCTGGAGTGATACTCCTTGTTTCATTCCTGATGTTATAGCTTCTCTGTTTTTTTGGTCCATCTTGCTAGAGGTCTGTCCTGGGCTCAAGCAATGCCACTATGTATCTCAGCCTCCCACGTAGCCGAGACCACCACACCCAGCTAATTTTTTTTTTTTATTGTTTGTAGAGACAGGATTTCACCATGTTGCTCAGACTGGTCTTGAACTCCTGGCCTCAAGCAATCCACTTGCCTTGGCCTCCCAAAGTGCTGGGATTAGAAATGTGAGCCACCACACCCAGTTAATGTTGTCTTTTTAAAAAAGAGACAAGGTCTTGCTCTGTTGTCCAGCCTGGAGTGCAGTGACGTGCTCACAGCTCACTTCAGCCTCGAACTTCTGGGCTCAAGTGATCCTTCCCCCTCAGCCTCCTGAGTAGCTGGGACTACAGGCATGCACGCCATGCCCAGCTAATTAAAAAAATTATTTTAGAGATGAGATCTTGCTATGTTGCCTAGGCTGGTCCTGAACTCCTGACCTCCAGAAATCCTCCTGCCTTGGTCTCCCAAAGCACTGGGATTATAGGTGTGAGCCACTGTGCCAGCCTGTGTTGTAATTTTGCCAGTTCCAGTGAAGCACAGGCCTCACCTCCTTTTATGTTCCTTTACCTTTGCCTTTCTATAATTATCTTTTTGTTTTGAGATGGAGTCTTGCTCTGTCACCCAGGCTAGAGTGCAGTGGTGCCATCTCGGCTCACTACAACGTCCACCTCCCGGGTTCAAGTGCTTCTCCTGCCTCAGCCTCCTAAGTAGCTGGGATTACAGGCGCGTGCCACCATGACTCGCCCAACTATCTTAAATACTTCCTTTATGTACATTTTGAGCCACATCAGGTATTGCTATGATTTTTGATTATGCTATCAAACATAATTCAGAAAACTCTAGAGGAGGAGGAAAGCCTATTGTATTTGGTGACAAATCCTTAAGTTTTCCTTCATCTGAGAATGATTTGATTACTTCTTCATTCCTGAAAGATATATTCACTGGGTATAGGATTCTGGCTTGCCACTTTTCTTTGAGTACTTGAAAAATATTGTGTCCCTTTATTCCGGTCTTTCTGGTGTCTGCTGAGAAATTCACTGTCATTCAAATTCTTTTTCCCTTACTGGTCAAGTGTCATCTTTCTCTGACTGCTTTCAATAATTTTATCTCATTTTTAGAAGTCTAATGATGTGTCTTTGGCAGGGATTTCTTTGGGTTTATCCTATTTGGGGTTTGCTCAGTTTCTTGATTCTGTATGTTTATGTTTCTTGCCAAATTGTATTTTTTTTTTTTTTTTTTTTTTTTTTTGAGTCTTGCTCTGTGGCCCAGGCTGGAGTGCAGTGGTACGATCTTGGCTCACTGCCACTTCTGACTCCCGGGTTCAAGCGATTTTCCTGTCTCAGTCACCCAAGTAGCTGGGATTACTGGCAAGTGCCATTATGCCCAGCTAATTTTTGTATTTTTAGTAGAGAAAGGGTTTCACCATGTTGGTCAGGCTGGTCTTGAATTCCTGACCTCGTGATCCGCCCACCTCAGCTTCCCAAAGTGCTGGGATTACAGGTGTGAGCCACCACATCCGGCCAAATTCAGGAAAATTTTTAAGTCATTATTTCTTCAAGGACTTTTGCAGCCTGTTATCTTCTCTCTTCCAGGGATTTCAGTGAAACGAATGTTATATCATGTGTTATCATCTCATTGGTCCCTGAAGCTCTACTTTAAACCCCATTCTAGTTCTCTGTGGTCTGGATTTCTATTCTGTCTTTCGGCGCATAGATTTCTTTCCTCGTCCTCCCTCTTCTTCTACTAAGCCCATCCACTGGGCTTTATATTTTGGCTACTGCAGTTGTTAGTGCTACAATTTCCAGTCGCCATTTGGTTCTTCTTTCACATTGTCTCTCTCTTTGCTGACACTTTCACTTGTTTCAAGTATGTTCACAATTTCTCACTGAAGCATTTCTACTGTGTCTGCTGTGAAATATTTGTTAATCATTTTAATATCATCATCTCAGTGCAGGCATATATTGATTATTATTTTTCATTCAGTTTGAGATCTTTCTAGCTCTTGGTAGGATGAATGATTTTCACTTGAAACCTGGACATTTTTTCCTTACGTTATGAAAGTCTAGATCTCATTCAAGCTTTCTGGTTTTGCTGGCTTTTTCTGACACTGCACTGGCAGGAGGAGTATGCCACTCATTCCTGCCAAGTGAAGCAGAAGCCCAGGTTTCTTTTTATTTTTTGAGACAGAGTCTTATTCTGTCACCAGGCTGGAGTGAAGTGGTGCCATCTTGGCTCACTGCAGCCTCTACCTCCTGGGTTCAAGCAATTTTCCTGCATCAGCCTCCCGGGTAGCTGGGATAACAGGTATGCGCCGCCACACCTGGCTAATTTTTATATTTTTAGTAGAGACAAGGTTTCACCATGTTGGCCAGGATGGTCTCAAACTCCTGACCTCAAGCAATCCGCCCGTCTAGGCCTCCCAAAGTGCTGGGATTACAGGCATGAGCCACTGCGCCCCAACGTCTAGATTTCTTACTTGGCTTACGGGAGGATGCTCCTTGTGACCGACATGTGTGGGTCCAAGATCCCTATATATGGTCTCTGCTGACACCATGGGGCGGTGTCTTACCCCGGCTGGTGGGGGTGGAAGTCCTGGTTCTCTACCTGGCCTACTTGACACACCCGGCAAGGGTGTGGAGTGCCTCGTGACAGCCTGTATTGGTGGAAGTCTGGGTTTCCCGCTGAATCTTTGCCAGCGTCGATAGGCGCGGCAGCACGACTACTCTGTAGTGCCTGGCTGGAGTAAAGCTGCTGTTGACTGAAGGTCTTCTGTCTTGCTAGGCCACTCCTTTCCTGGTCCGCTGGCTGGAAAGGACAGGCTTTGGTTGGGCATTTTTGTGTGTGCCCTTCCTGGCATTTCAGGTTTGCCAGCTTCCTCAGCACTGTGTGGGATACACAAAGCGAAAAGAAAACCCAGGGAACTCATGCCACGCTGCTCCTGCTCCTCTCTCTTGGTAAGAAGTTTCTAACAAAAAGTGTAGTGGGGGCAACAAGTAATTTCCCAGTTAACATGTCACTGTACACAGAGGGGACACAGGAGCTATCAGAAAGAAGACCAGGGTGCTTCCGTGTGGCCCTGCTGATCCCCAAAGTTAAAACAGCAGCAGGCCTCAGCTACGAAGGGTCCAACAGTTCTCTCTCCAGTGGGCCGGGCCAAAACCACAAAGGGAATTGGATGCTTTGAAGCAGTTAAAAGAAACGGAGATTTCCTTCATTGCTTTCAATCATTCCCAGAGAGACTGCAGGTCCCGTGAGTCCTCAGCGTAAAATCAGTCAGTGGAGCCAGTCGTGGCAAAGCAGCAGCATGGACTCTGCTACAGAGCCCCCACGAGACAAAGAAACGGTGCCATGGTTCTTTACAATGTCACTGCTCTACAGACAGATGACACGGCCAGTAGGTCAGAGACTTTAACTTTCTTCCTTACCCTGGTCTGAAATTCTGTTCTTGTCCACCTCCAAACAGCATGGGATAGAGAAGGGTACAGCCACCAAGTCCTCGTGCATACAGTGCGCCAATCCTGGGACCATAAAACTGGGAGGAAGAGTTGGCCATTTATTCAACCAGAACTTTCCAACGACCGACTCTGTATACGTGCTAAGTGCTTAGGGCACACAGGAGATATATATACTCTGCAATGCACAGTCCTGCTGCTTCCTTGTGGCGCCTCTACGGGCCACCCCTTTTGACAGAGAGTCAGAAAAGCCTTAAGGGGCAGGGTGGAACCCCAGCCTAGGAGGCAGCACAGGTGCGGACTCGTTCCCAGCTCTGCGGCAGGCAGATCTCCCCCACACATCACGTGACACGACTTGTAAACGGATCTCAAATCATAAGAATCACAGGTAAAAAGAAAAAGAGAATGCATACATAGAGGGGGCTGGAGCCAGTGCCTGCCCAGGGCTTTTCCTGCAAATGATTCCATGCTTCCAATTGACACGATGCAAAACTCAAGTGCCACACTGTCAGGCCAGCATAGACATGCCTTTGGAAACCAGCTTAAGACTGTGCTTCAAAATTGAGTACTAAAAATATTTCAGGCCCTGGTCAGCAGCCAGAAGATGTGCAAACTTCTCCCAAGGGTTTTTACTGTTAACTGTTTTCCCCACACCCCACCTTAAAGATGGTTGCTGAGGAGCCGCATCTGAATTGAGGTGGAGAAAACAACCATTTCCTGAACCCATACCTTCGGCCCCATGCCCCCTGCAGAGACACCTGCTGCCTGGCCAGACCCTCTTACTCTCCCTGCCTCAATGTCTCCTCCCTTAGCTTCGCCTACTGCCCCAACCCTACCCCATCATCCCTGTCACGGCATTCGCCCTGGCATGCTGGCCATGTGGGGCTCCCCTCTTAAAGCTCCTGAGGACAGGGATCCCGTGTTGCTCCTCATAGTGCCCCCAGCGCCTGGCTGACAGTGGGCAGTGAGGCTTACGGGACCGAGGTCTGAATAGCCACGTGTGCAGCAGGCTCTGCCCAGAGGGAAGAAGCCTCTGCAGATGTACCTTGTGCCCCACGATTGTAAGGAAGTCCACACCCAGGTCCTCCACATCCACGCGCCGCTTCCCCAAGGCCTGTGCGGCATCCGTGTGCACAAGGATGGGAGGCAGCCCGGCTGCTGCCCGTTCCTGGTTCAGGGCTTTAATGCGCTGGCTGATTTCAGGGACAGGCTGACGGGGAAAGGAAACAGTTGAGTATGTTGCTCCAATTTGATGAAAACTGAATGACAGAAATCAGGAGTAGGGAGCACAGGCCAAATGTTATCAAACCGAACAGACAAATGGCAGAGGCCAGAGCTGGGAAACCTGAAACACCACGAGATTCGAAGCCCCTGTTCTTCCCCATGAGCTCTCCTTACAGGGAAACAGAGGCCGACTCACCATGATGACACCAGTCTCATTGTTGGCCAGCATGATGCTCACGAGGCGTGTGGTTGGGCGGACGGCTGCAAGGATGTCGTCCACCTCTGCCCGCCCGCTCGCCTTGGACACCGGGACAAAGGTGACCTCTGGGAAACAAACACAAGTGCTGAAGTGAGCTGCACAAACGGATTCCTCTTGAAACTTCATTCCAACAGAGCTTAACACAACTGTTTTCCACAACTATCAAAGCCATTTCCTGTCCACGTTCAGAAGACGATAAAGAAGAATGTAAGTCGCCCGTCATCGCTGTCGGGTGTTTCAGTGTGAACGCATCTAACGTAGCTGCGGTGAATCTGTGTGGTGGAACCTACATGTCTTTCTGCTTCTATGGGGACCAAAGGGGAACTGGCAACAGGGACACAGGCTCTTGCTTTAGGGGAGAGTCCTAGCGCACTGCACCTCCCTGCCAAGCGCTCGGCACCGAGCCAGTGCTGATGAAGCCGCTCCTATGCACCAGATGTTTCATCTCCTACTGCAGATGGAAAATGGGCAGAGGTGACTACATTGTTTAGCTCTAGTCCTTTCAGTTTAAAATGGTGAAAAACAAATGTATCCACTGCCTGCTCAGGGTCCTACTGAAACGAAAGAGTAAACTACTACTTCTCGGACTAAGAATCAAATCAAAACAACATCAACAAAGGGTATTTGGCCAGGCACAGTGGCTCACTTTGGGAGTAGTTTGGGAGGCCGAGGTGGGCAGACTGCTTGAGCCCAGGGGTTCAAGACCAGCCTAGGCAACATAGAGAGACCACTGAGATTATGCCACTGCACTCCAGCCTGGGTGACAGAGTAACACACCGTCTAAAAAAAAGGGGGGGTGGTGGTATATAGACTAGCAATTTGGAGGAGTCCCTAAAATGCAGAAAGATGATGGCATTAGATTAACAGGGAAAAATCACTTAAAACACTTAAAGGCAAATCTGAAAGGATCCAGTGGCCACCCAAGTTCAGGGTGGACAGTGGGAAGCACAGGGCAGGGGCCAGCTACCAAGGCCAGCAGAGGTCCCAACGTGCAAGCCTCAGACTGAGACAGCACGGCATGCCCAGAGAGGAACGGCAGGCACAAGACGGGCTCCCAGGATGGGGGAACGGGCTAGAAAGGGGGAAGGAGATTGAGGTATCTGCTAGGGGACTTAGAGGAGCAAAGCAAAGGCAGCTCCATCCAGGGAAGTCACAGAGAAAAGTGGGCGGGGTCCTCCAGGCTTTCCAGGCTCTGCTGCCACCACCTTATGCATCGCCCATCGTGGGCCCTCCCTTCCTGCGAGACACCTCCTCGGGAAATGCACTGAGAATTGGAGAGGAACCCTCCTTGGCCCCTACATCAAACAATGAAATGCGTCACCCATCCACAGGGACAATCCAGGATCCCCAAGCCCAAAGAAGAACCAGGATGAACAGGTAAATGACTGATTGTAGATCACACAGGAGCAATCCCAGGGACAGGAAAACTAAAAAAAATTCCAACTGATATCTTCACAGATATTCAAGATGTTCAAGATGACTTAGGTTCTGCAGAGAAATAATTACGTTCATGAAATAAATGTCCATTATCAGCCTTTCATTTATTCAACTATAAAAAAAAGATCATTAAAACATAGTTACAAAATAAAATGTAATTATTTTTAAATTTAACCATCATAAAGCTTAACCACAAAAACATATTTGGCCAAAACAGACTGAAAGGAGGAGGCGAGGGGATAACGGACGGGTGCACTCATTTCCTCCTCTGTTAGTGACTCATATCTCTCAAGTTGATAATTTAGGAAATCCAGGTTAAAATACAGTATTTAAAAAGTAACAGGGGAGGGATGGTTTCCAGAATGGTCAAGGCACTCCACCTCCTCCGTCTCCAGCACGGCAGCCGTGACTGGTAAAACAATCAACCTGAAACAATCAACCGCTTACAGTCTCTGGAAATTACAGCCTCAGGGCACACAGCAAGTGAAGAAGTAACTATTCAAGAAAATCAAGGAAATCTAGATGAGAACAGTGAGTCTATGGCACCTGAGCCCATCCAGCTCAGTGTGATGCAAGCTCCACTCAGCTGGGCACTGCCTGCCAAGGGATTCTCTCTACCTGGGCACCGGTCAAGGGCTACGGCACAGAGGGGCAGCGGCCGGCACCTCTCACCCCACCTCCCAGGTCCAAGTTGCAGGGTCTAAGCCCCAGGAGGGTGAGGCCAGGAGGTGGGGCTCTCTCCCTTCCTCCAGCACCCACCACAGGGAAGAGGCACAGGGGTCGCAGCCCACGTGGCCAGGGCTGGTGCCCTGACTGCCCTCACTCCAGAAGAGATAAGCTGAGAAGCCCACAGCTATCGCCTTTACACAGAGCTCTGCCTGTAAAGTGTGTGTGTGGAGCAGGGACACTCAGAGACAAGCGGGCCACAGTCACTGCCCCACTCTCCAGGGAAGCGACTGAGAGATTTTGCCAAGGGTGAGATAGAACAAGGAGTTCTAAAGCTCTCTGCAAAAGAAGTGACTTCATTCAGAACAGTGTGGGGAAGTTCAAGCCCAAGGGCGGAGACCCAGACGGCAACTGAGAAGCTGGTAGTTCCATGGCAGCAAAAAGCTAAACTGCAGGACAACAAACTCCCAAGACTTCACAAAGATGATACTGCAAAGGGCCCCACATGTAACCAGATTAGACTCTGGAGGAATTTATGCCCCAGAGCATTGTCAAAAATAACAGAGCAATCAGTTCACAATTACAGGAGCCTAACAGCCAGGCAGACAGCTGAACAGAGAAACCAGGGACAGGAACAACCAAGAGAGACCCTCTTGCCCATTGTCACCTCAAGTGAGCATGCACTTGCCAAGGCTGCACCCTGAGGCTTGTGAAGTCAGAAGCTTCACAATGCTGGGGAAACAGATCTCATTAAAACAGCTCAGCCAGGCCACTAGACAGACAAGCAAGCAACAAAAACCACTAGGACAGGGAGGAAGAGGGGAATCCATATCTAGGGTTTTAAAAATATATGACCTGACAAGTACAGTTTTCTTTTCTTTTTGAGACGGAGTTTCGCTCTTGTTGCCCAGGCTGGAGTGCAATGGCGCGATCTCGGCTCACCGCAACCTCCGCCTCTTGGGTTCAGGCAATTCTCCTGCCTCAGCCTCCTGAGTAGCTGGGATTACAGACACATGCCACCATGCCCAGCTAATTTTTTGTAGCTTTAGTAGAGACGGGGTTTCACCATGTTGACCAGGATGGTCTCGATCTCTTGACCTCGTGATCCACCCGCCTCGGCCTCCCAAAGTGCTGGGATTACAGGCTTGAGCCACCGCGCCCGGCCCACAAGTACAGTTTTCAACAAAAAGTAACAAGATGTGCAAAGAAACTGGAAAGTGTGAAAAAGCAGGAAAAAAGGCATGTGACAGAAACTGCCTGCGACCATGCTTAAAGAGATAAAGAAAAGTATGATGACAATGGCTCATCAAATAGAGTCTCCTCAAGATAAACGAGAGAAATTATGAAAAAGAACCAAAAGGAAATTCTGGAGTTGGAAAGTACAATTGATATGAAGAATTCACTGGAGGGGCTCAACAATATATTGGAACTGACAGAAAATACATTCAGTCGACATTAAGGTAGATTTACAGAGATTATGCAATCCAAATACAAGAGAGGAAAAACATGAGAAGGACAAACAGAGCCTCAGAGAAATGTGAGATACCATAAGGCACCAAATATGGAAAACAGGAATAGCAGAAGGGCAGGAGCAAGAGAAAGGGGCAGAAAACGTCTCTGAAGAATAATGGCTGAAAATGTCCCAAATCGATGGAAAACATTAATCTACATACCCAAAAGGCTCAATGAATTCCAGGTAGGATAAAACACAAAGACATTCACTCCCAGACACATGATAATGAAAATGTTGAAAGACAAAGACAAAGGAAGTATACTGAAATTAGCAAGAGAAAAATCACTTGTCATATCTAAGTGAACTCCAGCAAGATTAACAGTTGAATTCTCAACAGAAACAATGTTTAGACGGCCGGTATGCTGATATTCAAGTGCTGAAAGAAAAAGAGTCAACCAAGAATCTTATATCTAAAAAAACTCTTTCAAAAATGGTGGCAAAATAGAGATTCCAAGATAAACAAAAATGGAGAAAAGACATTGCTAGTAGCCTGCCTGCCTTATAATACAAAAGGAAGCTCCTCGGGCCAAAAGCAAGTAACGCCAGGCAGGAATGTGAATCCACATGAACAAAAACAAGGAGGACAGCAAAGGGAATTATTTAATTATAAAAGGCAGTATATAGCCAGGCGTGGTGGCAGGCGCCTGTAGTCCCAGCTACGTGGGGGGCTGAGGCAGGAGAATTGCTTGAACCCGGGAGGTAGCGATTGCATGAGCTGAGATTGCGCCACTGTACTCCAGCCTGGGTGACAGAGATTCCATCTCAAAACACATAAAGGAAAAAAACAGTAGTGTAACTGTATATTGTTTCTCTTAACTGATTTAAAAGCAACTGTATAAAATAACACGTATATAATTATGCTGTTAGGGCAATAACACACAGTATTTGATAATAGCACAATGGAGGTGGGAGGGAGCAGAACCGTCTTGGATTAAGGAAAGGACACCAGATGCTAATTCAGATCCATGGAACAAATGAAGATCATGTGAAAAGGCAGCTAAGAAGGCTCCTCGAACACGATGTATAAATATATGCTTGCTCTTTCTTCCCTTAGCTTCTTTAAAAGACAAAAAAAGTGGCCAAGTGCAGTGGCTCATGCCTGTAAGCATTTTGGAAGGCTAAGGCAGAAGGATCCCTTGAGCCCAGGAGTTCAAGACCAGCCTGGGCAACATAAGGACACCCTGGCTGCACAAAAAATAAAAAATTAGCAGGTACATTGAAATGTGCCTGTAGTCCAAGCTACTAGGGCTTGGACTACTACTCTTGTCTCAAAAAGAAAAGAAAAGAAAAGAAAAAAAACCAGACATGAAACTAACTAAAATGATATTTGTGGCTGGGTACAGTGGCTCATGCCTGTAATCCCAGCATTTTGAAAGGCCGAGATGGGCAGATCACTTGAGGCCAGGAGTTCAAGACCAGCCTGCCCAACATGGAGAAACCCTGTCTCTA